TATTTTACAATAGTAGGCAAGGGAAACCAATATTCATAAGACAGTCAAGCATCTTAGTATTATTTCTCCTCTTCAGACTATGCCTGGATCCCTGTATCACAGAGCCCTATTGTTCCAAGGTTGAGCATGCGTCACTATTTATCTTTGTCTCATTTAGCCCACGCAAACCTGTCTCAGTGTTCCCCTAGCTACCTTGTTCTTCCACCCCTCCCCCTTCTTACGTATTGCCCTGCCCAATACCTGAACTATGATGTGTACCTTCTGCTCTACCATCACCTCCCTCCACAAACCCCCTCAGCTCCCCTACTCCACCCCTACCTGTAACCAACAAAGAATTTTTTTTTTTCCTTTTAAGTATGGGTATCTTTTCTTAAGCTTTTACAATAATGGTCTTAAGCAATATTTGTCCTTTTGTGACAGATTGATTTCACTCAGCATAATGTCCTCAAGGTTCATCCATGTTATGTGATGGCTTACAGCTTCCTTGTTATTCTTCAAGGTAGCATAATATTCCATTGTGTGTATGTACCAAAGTTTATTTATCCATTCTTCCATTGATGGGCACTTTGGCTATCTCCATATTTTGCTATTGTGAATAGTGCTGCTATGAACATTGGTGTACATATATCTACTTGTGTTATGGCTCATATATGTTGTGGATATATACTATACCAAGTAGAGGAATTGCTGGATCGTATGGTATTTCTATTTTCAACTTTCTGAGAAAGCGCCATACTGTTTTCCAAAGTGAGGCCCATTATTTTTTAATTCCATTTTCCACTAACTTTCTGAAGCATGTGTGTATACACGTTTATACACATGTATGTGTAAATGTATGTATTATGTGTATACATGTACAGCAAAGACTGAGAGCTCCCTTCTCTGAGTGGGGTACAATGATGCGCTAAAAACTAGTCGGCGTTGAAGTCAGAAGACTGAGATTGCAAGAGTGGTTCTGCAATGCATGGACCGATGAGCAGCTGATTCAGTGTCTTTTAACCCAAGTTTCCTCACCAATCCAATGGGGATAAAAGCTCCGTTATACCATAAAGTGATATATAGCATTTACAAATTTCCGTTATGTAACGATTCCAATATATGAAGCTACCAATATATGAAAATGAAGTTGGGAAGCTTTTGTGAACCACAGTGACTCTGCAGGATAAGCACTGGACTTTGAACCACAAGGTCAGCAGTTCAAGCCCACCAGCTGCTCCATGAGAGAAGAATGAGGATTTCTGTTTCTGCACAGATTTAACAGCCTTGGAAACCCTAGAGGACCACTATCAGTTGGAACCAACGCAATGGCCCTTAACAGCAATATATACATATATATTGGATAACAGAGAAAGTAGTAAGTGATGTATAGTGTTCTAGACCTCAGACTCCTGGTGTGGCTCTGTAGGATCAGTACTGGACTGAGAACCACAAGATCAGCATTTCAAACCCACCAGCTGCTCCTCAGAAACTCTATATAGGGTCGTTAAGAGTCGGAACCAACTCGATGGCATTAAACAATTCTATACCTCACTTTTCATCCCTTTGTTGTTTCATCCCATTGAGTTGGTTTCGGCCCATGGCATCTTATATAGGGTTTCTGAGGAGCGACTGGTGAGTTTGAACCACCGACCTTGTGGTTGAATGTTTATCCTCAGTGTCACACCAGGACTCCCACTTTATACTTTGGATATTATTGTTTGTAATCAATTCTATTCCAACTCATGACTCTGAATGACAGAGAACTGCCCCATGGGGTTTCCTTGGTTGTAATTTCATATAACATATTTGGGTGGGGGAACACAATCGGTTACACCATGCTTCCCCAAGCTCTCCACTTGGCTCACAGCCTTCCCTGTGAAGTAGTCAATAAACTCAGCTGCTTGTCTGAGATAATGATGATGTCCTCTCCCTTCAATATACATTAGCTCCTCTGAACCCTAAAGATAAAGCTCCCTCTGTGGCTAAGTAGCTCATACTCTGATGAAGATAGATCTTCTAGAACCTAATTATCTTTGCAATGCCCTCGGGAAGGAACCTACCCTCATGTTTTAATAAAAGAACAACTTGCTGTTATGTGCTGTGGAGTCGGTTCCGACTCATAGCGACCCTGTACAGGGTTTCTGAGGCTGGAAATCTTTACGGGAGCAGAAAGCCTCATCTTTCTCCGGCAGAACAGCTGGTAGTTTCCAGCTGCTGACCTTGCGGCTCACAGCCCGATTCGTAACCACTATGCTACCAGAGCTCCTTAAAAGAACAACTAGATACTATTAAAGTATGACGTGGTTCTGTAGGATAAGCACTGAACTGCTAACCACAAGGTTGGTGGTTTGAGCCCACCAGCCTCTCAGAGAAAGATGAGAGTTTCTGCTCTCATAAACACAGCCTTAGAAACCCTATACAGGGTCGCTGTGAGTCAGAGCCAATTCACCAGCACTTAGCATTAAGAAGGCAGGAATGCTGGTGATGACATGGATTAAGCATTGGGCTAATTGAAAGGTTAATAGTTCAAACCCACCTGTGAGAGAATGATGAGGCCGTCTGTTCCCATAAAGATGTAACTTACAGGAATCCTCCGCTTGATGGCAGGGTGTTTGGGATCTTTGGTTTATTAAGGAGCCTGAATCATGCTGTGGATTAAGTGTTATGCTAACAACTGCCAAGGAAACCATGTGGGGCAGCTTTGCTGTGATAGGGTCATTAAGAGTGGTAACTGGCAGCAGCTGTGTGCTGGTGTTGCCTTGATTGTGTTGCTAAACTAACAGGACTCTTTCATGGCCCAGTAGATTGTCAGTGTGCCTGGGTGAGTCATGCTGGACTCTCATTAAAGTCAAGAGAAAGGCGCCTACAAGGGCTAAGCCCAGATAAGAAAAGGCGTCTGAAAGAAATGACAGTTCTCTAACTGGTCAGTCTTGTCAGCTCTGCAGACGTCAGGGAAATGGCTGCTCAAGTCTTCAGTTCATTAGCGCGGGCAGTTTAGAGAAGATATTTGAAGCTGAGCAGCAAATAGCCTGTTTAAAGCACAGTGATTAAGAGCAAAGTCTTGGAATTTGAGAGCCCTGGCGGAATCTCAGGGAGTCCTAGTGGTACTGTGGGTTAAGCATTGGGCTGCTAATTGAAAAGGTTGGCGGTTAGAACCCACCAGCTGCTCCACAGAATGATGTGGCAGTCCATTTCTGTCAAGACTGCCATCGAGTTGGTTCTGACTCACAGTGACCCTGTAGGGGTTCCAAGGAGCATCTGGTGGACTTGAACCGCTGACTTTGTGGTTTGCAATCCAGTGCAGATCCGACAGCTCCATACCAGGAGCCTGAAGATTACTGCCTATGAAACCCAGTGGAGGACTTAAAGTCCTGTAGGGTGTGTCGGAAGCTGGGATTGCATGTTTGGTTTTGGGTCAATGTCACACAGCCCTGGTGGTGCAACGGTTAAGCGCTTGGCTTTCTCGCAGAATCCATCAGCTACTCCTCAAACCCACCAGCTGCTCCTCAGGAACCCTATACAGGGTCACATGACACACCAAGTTTCAGAGGGACATGCTGGCTTAGAGTGCCCTTGAAGACCTGGATCTTTTTGCAAATGCAAAGATGCTCGAGTCACATGACTTGCGATTATTATTTTCGAGACAAAAGTGCCAACTGTGGTGCTTGCCTGGGCCTATCATCTCCTTCTTGTCTTCGGGTTTCATGGCAGGAAACAGAAGCACTTCCTGGATGTTACTGGAGTCTGTAAGGAACATGGTGACATGGACAATACCCGGGCCCCAGCCAGCTGTTGGGGGCAGCCTGTATTCCAGAGCGGTACAGAAGTTTCCCGTCTATGACCATGGTCTCATTGTCACCAGTGGCCTTGGCCTTGGCCTGTTTGTTCTTCAAATAGCTGCTGCTTCCGCATGGGGGTCTTTCAGCTCAGTGTAGGCCTCACATACTTCCTTCCTCCATGACAAAGAGCTCAAAGCGCTCTGTCAGACCCTCTTTAGAGCGGTGCATTTGGCCAAAGGGCTCATTATCTGGGGGTGGTTACAGATGAACATGGGATTGATGCAAATCACTTCCAGGAAATTGCCAACAAGCTTATTGAGGAGCCTGGCTGTGGTCCCAGCACCCTTTGCACCTGGCACCACTGTTAGCATGTTTGTGCCCATCACATGAGGGTGTGCCCCTCATCTGGGCTGGCTTTCTATTTTATCAACCAAACTGTCCTTTTCTGGTGACTGACCAAGTTCCACTGGACAGTGCTGGTTTATGTCTAGGCAGCTCCAGGCACACAGTTACTTAAGTGTGAGCTATGAGGCTACCCGACCCAGAGCCCAGCACAGAACTCAACACAGAATAGATGCTCAATAATTATTTATTGAAAAAATGAACATGTGAATCCCAGAACCCAGATTACACCCACACTCCCATCTACACACACACACATGCACGCACCCCACACGGACGGCAAGGTCAGACTTGTTTACAAGTAGTCTGGCTCCCTGTTCCGGGCTGTCCTCCGCCCAGGCTCCTGGAAGGACAGTGGTTTAGTAGAAATCCTCCAGGTCGGACTCCGAGCCTGCACCTTTCTGGTTCTGGATCTGACTCTGCTCCCAGTACAGCTGTGCTACCTGAGGGGAGAGGGGTTGCCAGGCGAGCCGGCAGCTCAGTGGCTACCTCCCACCGCCTCCATGCTGCTCTGAGTCTACCTCTCAGAGACACTAGAGCTGGTCTGGCTGGGAAGGCTCCCCACCCCAAGCCATGCATCCTTCCTCCTAGGCCTCACCTGGGTGCTGGTGGTGGCCTCCTCCGGCTTCTTGTCATCTCGGACGCGAATGAACCGAGGGAAGCGAAGGGAAACGCCCTTCTCACGGTCCACCTGTGTGTGGGGGAGACAACAGGAGATCTGTGGTCCAACCTGGCCTCAGCTTCCTCATGCATATAATGGGGATAAGCAATGAGTTTTTTTTAAGGATTTCAAAAATTCCAATAAATAAGTGGAGGCTTCAAAAAGTTGGTGAAAAATAGAATTAAAGGAGAATGGAACTTTCCCACAAATATTTTAAGCCCCTCATATGAGGTGCTTAGAACCGTGCAGGCTGTGTGCTAAGAACTCCGAAGACACCTGATGCTGTGGTTTTAGGACGTTGTCATTGTTATCAGGGCCAGGAAGCAGAACACCGGGGTCTAGAGTGGGGATTCTAGAACCAGACTGTTGTTTTTGTTGGCAACTGCCATCTAGTCGGCCTTGACTCAAGGTGACCCCAGGCAGCAATAGAACCCAATGCTGCCCGGCCCTGTGTCATCTCACTGGCCCATTTTCAGAAGTCGATTACCAGGCCTTTCTTCCTAACCTCAGTGAGAAAGCTCCACGGAACCCTGTTCGTATCACAGCCACATGCAAGTCTCTGCAGAAAAGTGGGTGCTAGCTGCACATGAGGTGTGCTAGCTTGGGACTGAACCAGGTGTCTTGTCGGGAAGACTAGGATTCAGCCACTGAGCCACAAATGTCTTACACAGAGCCAGACTCAAAAAAACCCCCCGTGCCCACTACCATCATGTTGATTTTGACTCACAGCCAGCCTCTACAGGGCTTCAGAGACTACATGTTTACAGGAGCAGACAGCCTCATCGTTCTTCCACCAGCGGCTGGAAGGTTTGAACTACCAACCCTCTGGTTAGCAGCCCAACACCTAACCCACAGCACCACCAGGGGTTTCATATCCTAGCTCCCAACTCTCAGAAAACTTGAGACCCTGGGCCAGTTACCAACACAGTCTGGGGCTTGTTTCCTCCTTCATAAAACTAGGCTGTTCACTTTCCCATGACTCAGCATTTTTGTGAGGATCAGACAAGTAGATACAAGGAAGGTCCTTGTGACTAGCACGGCACCTGATTCACACTCAGTGCGCACTGCAACCAAGGGACCCAGTGCTTCAGCCAGAGTATGAGTGAGGACAACAAGCAGTGACAGTCTTCTTTAAATACAAAACAAAAAACAATTAGGTAAACAAGAACTTCAGGAAAAGATAAACAACAGGGTCTGATCGGTACAATGGAGTGATATTCATAAAGAGAACCGAAGTTCTGAGCCGTGATACCACAGGGATGAGTTCAGAAAACACAATGCCAGGGGAATTAAACCAATCACAGAAAGACAAGTCGGCTGATGCCACTTGTAGAAAACATCAGAAAAGGCCAAGGTAGAGATAGGGCCAGAGTTGTGGTTAGCAGGGGTGGCCACCAGGGGGAGTCGCTATTTAGGAAGTGGATACAGGTAATGTCATCGTTGTCACTGAACTGTACGCAGAAACCACGTTGAACTGGAGAATACTGTGTGATACGAGGGGGCTTCAGAAAATTGGCGGGAAAATTCCATAATTTTTCAATTCTATCTTCCCACATGCTTTTCAAAGCTCCCTCATCTATAGATTTTTACCACACACATACACACAGTATGCCTTGTATATACATGAGTTTCTGCTCTAATCAGAAAAGTACATGCTAGCTGGGTTTTAAAGGATGAGAAACAGCTCCGAGCGAGTACATTTTGAATCTGAGTTGTTCTGAAGGAGAGAGAAGAGGTTTTTCCCTGGTGAATACAAAACACTTGAGTGTTGAGGGCTGGACCATGGTTGAGAGAAATGAGTCAAAGGGATTTAAGAAACTGTAGGTGTGCTACAAGAGGGGAGTAGTTAATTATTCATTTCAGGAGTAGACAATCCCAGGACCATCAAAAGGGAAGAGCATGAGTGGAGCTTGAGCTCCTACCTAGAAAAGCGACAACAGCAGAGACAGGGGCATGGAGAGAGAGAGCAGCTGCGGGCTCTCGGCCAAAAGGACTGAGCAAGGCTGTGTGTCTGTGGGCAGGAGGCTGGCTTGCAGAATGTGCCCTTTGGAAATTTAACTGAATACATATTTTTGGTTTTGTATGTGTGCGTCAAATGTTTTTGCTTTCTTCATTTGTGAGATACAAGCTGTAAATGGAGACTCACAGGGAGGAAGTCGGAGAGCTGTTGTTTCAGGGAAGGGATTATTTCACTGAGATGAAACAAAGTGTTGGATTTGTTCAATGTAAAGCTGATGATCTTGTCTGTATACCTCCACCCAAGTTACAATAAAAAGTTTTAAAAAAAACCCAAAACTGTTGATGGTAAAATGAATTATGGTTGAAAAAAACCAATGGCAGCTACCAACCTAAATGGCCGAGCAGGAAGTGCGAGAAGCCAAGAGGAGCGTCTACCAAGTTTACTTAAAAAGCAAGAAGTGAGACTATGATGGTAAAGGCGGCAATGATGTCTCGATTTTCTTTCTTTTATCAGGAAATTTTTAAAAAAAAAAAAAGAGGTTTGATCCCCATTACCTGATGACACCCAAGTAAGCACTGGAATGGGGAATGTTGTGTACCTATGGTAAAAGCTATAAAAGCCCGCGCCTGCGTAAGGTGGAAACCTATTGGAGCAGAAAACGCAAACATTTCCCATTAAAAGTACTAAGACCCTTGTCAAAGGCAGAAAACTCGGGAGACCCAGAAAGACAAGGCCATAAAGATTTCCAGCCTTGGAAACTCTACATAAGGTTGCTAAGAGTTATTACTGACCCCAAGGCACACCGCCACCACCAAGTTCTGAAGGATGAGTAGTATCTCAGAGCGAGTACATCTTTAACCCGACAGTTACTGGTCTTCCAAAAAAGGAGTCCAGGCGTGGCGCTGCAGGAGACGCACTGGGCTGCTAGCCCACCAGTGGCCCCCATAAAGACTTACAGTCACAGAAACACCATAAAGGGTCGCTATGAGTAGGAACTGACTTGAGAGCAGTAGGTTTGGTGTTGGCTGGTCTTTTGTTCTGCTGAAGAGAAAGGTGAGCTTTCCTGGTGCTGGGTTCGTACTCTAAAGAGCACGTGTGCCCCCAGACTCCCTCCCCAGTCTGTCCCCCACAGTCCCTCTGAAGGGTCCCTGAGACCACTCCTACATTCCTGGGACTCACCAGGCCACGGGCAGCGGGGTAGATGGGAGAGAGTGACAGGTCTGCACACTTCACCTCCCACACAGCGCTGGGCTCCAGCCAGTGGTCAGGGGCCACAGCACCATCTGCCCGCACGTAGGAGCGTGGGCTGGACAGTACCAGGGCCTGTGGAGGGAAAGAAAGTAGGCTGTCAATCAAAGACAAGGCCAAGGGCTGGGGGGCTGGGCAGTAGAAATGAGGTGGGTGGGAGAAGGGCAAAAAGAGCCTCTGGAACAGAGCAGCAGATAAAATACAAAGAGAGAGACCGAGGGGGACAGAGACCCAGGAGGGGTGAGAACAGAGACCCAGATAGAAAGGAGGACAGAGATCCAAAGAGAGAAGGGGACAGACAGACAGGACACACAGATCCAGAGAGTATGGTGGACAAAGAGAAAGACCAAAGAAAGGACAGAGATAGCCAGAACCCAGAGAGATGAATACATAGGATAGAGACTCTCACCAAAGGTGCCCGTGACCGTGACAAGCACCTATCCCCTACTAGGGCCCCACAGCACCGCTCAGGGACCTGAGGACAGTGTGCAGGGCAGGTTCTGGGATCACTTCCTGCCCAGAGGCACGCAACTGGAGAAAAGGCCCCTTATCCAGCCTGTGCAGCGGCACTGCTGGGCTCGAATCGGAAGTGGTGGGCTCTGAGGCTCGCACCCAACCCCACCCGAGCCCCAGCGGAGGGGACAGAGGGCGTGTACGTGGAAAGGAGTCGCGCAGCAGGTGGGCAGCTCACCTGGAGGCTCTGATGATGCTTCTCCAGCTCCTCGTCACTGAAGCCCGTGCCGAGCTGCGGGGGACACAGTTGTCAGGGCTTGGCTCTGTGCCCCCAGCTCCCACCCACTCAGTTTTCTGGTTCAGGAGGGTCCCACCAGTCTCAGGAGGAGGGGATGGCAGGGTGCTAGGCAGCCAAAGACCCCCACGGGGAAACGACTCTGGCAAGCCTGAGACCTCTATTCTGATCAGTGTGGTCCCATTAACCCACCACCACTGCCTTTCTCTCCTTCTCCAGTCCCCCGACAGGAGTTCCCCACCTCCCCTGGTCTCACCCATACACCTGCCTAGAAACAACTCTAAGACTGACAAGCATTCTCTTTTCTTGCTTATTAAAAATACAAAGGCTAGAAAGGAGATGGGGATAGCACTCATGTAGCACAATAGTGAATAATTGCTATCAGGACTGACTGTGAGGGTTGGAAATATAAAGGTAGATGTTTTGTAGCAAAAGGAGGGGAGTGGTTGACTTTGCAGTCCAGGAGTGGAGGTCCCTGGGACCATCAAGGGAGAAGAGTGGAATGCGGGACCCTACCCAGAGAAGCAGTGATGCCAGAGATGGAGGCAGAGACAATGATGTGGAGAGATGGAGCAGTTGGGAACGTTAGACCCAGAGAGGGAGAGGAGCTGTGTGCTGATGACCGGGGGTGGGGTGGGGGCAGGCTTGCAGGGTATACCCTTTGGTTGGCTGATGATGCATGGAGGGATTGTAACCATGGCAATGAAACGATTATATGATAGGATAAATGTAAAGCTAATGTTCTCCCATTAATTCACAATTAAACATTAAAAAAAAAAAACTAGAACTGTTATCAGATCTATGGCAACTGTCACAACTAAATGTAGAAAAGGTATAGCTAAAAGGGGAGCAGTTAATCTGTCATTTCAGGAACAGAGGACTGAAGGACTATCAAAAGTGTGAAGAGCATGAAAAGTGTGAAGGACCCTAACTAGAAAAGCAGTGACGACAGAGATGGTGGCAGAGGCAATGGTACAGAAAGACAGATCAGCAGAGGACTCTGGTCTATGGGCTGAGAAAAGCAGTGTGCCTGTGGGCAGGAGACTGGCCTGCACAATGTGCTTTTGGACATTTAAACAAATACATATTTTTAATGTGGTTATGTGCACATAAAATAAAAAAGGTAATAGGTAATAGAGATAAATACTGTTGGCTGAGGGTGCATGGAAGGGATTGTAATCATGACAATGATTTGCTGAATGTAAAACTGATGATCTGCCCTGTAAACCTTCACTCACTCAATACACAATCAAAGCTTTCATTAAAAAAACAAAAAACAAAGGCTAAATACAAAACAAAACATAAGTCAGTGCTGGCAAACACATAGCCAGATGGGCATCTTCATATGTGCTGCTATCTGGTGTGGAGTTGCTTCCAGCTCACGGTGCCCCACGTGCGCATCTACCTAAAAGAGCTCCATGGGGTTTTCAAGGGTCTGGCTTTTCAGAAGAGCAGGCGGTACATGCCTATCCTCTGAGGAACCTCTGGATGGATTTGAACTGCCAACCTCTTGGCTAGTAGCAGAGCGAAACCATTTGCACCTCACTGTTGCCTATCTTTAAACTCTGGATATAAAACATCCGCTGAAAAGCTCCTTCCACAAAGAAGCTTAGACATCCTCTCGCCTTTTGTCCTGACAATAGCTTTCTGTAAAATCTACAAGGGAGCTTCTAAAAATTCATAGAAAAACTCTGCAGAATAAGCACCGGGCTGGTAGCCAAAAGGTCAGCAGCTCAAACCTACCTCCTTGGAAATTATTCAGGGTCACTATGAGTTGGAACCAATTTAATGGCACTTAATAGCAACAATGTATTTGAAATTAAAAAACCTAAAAATGATGACAGACTTATGCTCAAAGGTTATTTATAACCCTTTTATCACATCTATCGCTGGTTAGATAGTAATTGGGTTATTATATGTTAAGGCATTATTTGTGAAAACACAAGATGGTGGCAACCTCAACACCCAGCTGGAGGAGACTAGTCTTGGAAATGAGGGCACATCTAGTGGAAAATTTGCTTTTTAAGTAATTTTAAACCACAAGAGTGCCATCCCCATCTCCTTTCATCAGCCCCGCCCAGACAGATTGGCTACTACTCAGTGGAGAGTCTACCGTCCTCTGCGCCCTCTGGATCTAGGCTCCCTCTTGAAAGCTTGTAAGCCATATTAGAAAATTCTTGTGTAAGGATTAAAAGTCACGTCTAAGGAAGCTCGGCATGGCATGCGGAAACATGTCACTATGTATAATGCACACAATTACACTTGAAGTTCAGGATTTCCAGGGCAATAAGGCAGAAAAGGGAGTCCCTGTATGTCACTGTGGTATCTGCTAATGCACTGGACAAGCCCACATCACCTGCTTTCTCCGTTGTACCACTAACTGCCTGACCACCTGCCATGTCTGACTCCTTTTCTTCTTGGAAACCCTGTACAGAGTCGCTGTGAGTAGGGACCAACTTGAAGGTACTTCGCAACAACAACAACAAGGCAGTAAAGAGCATTGCATAGACAGGAGGATCACAACTGTAAGTAAAAACTGTTCGCTGGCTGAGGCTGACTCAAGTGGCCCACACCCCTGGGCTCTTTCTCTTTCCAGCTGAGAGAGCTGGAACTCCTGCAGCTACAATGTGACAATGAGGCCACAAGCACATGACTGACAAGGCTGTGGGGGAAGAGAGGAGTATGGGTCTTGACCATACTTATTAGAGAAAAATAAATCCTTCTCTTTCTTCAACCATTCGTTACAGCTGAACTCAATTTCTAACTGACCTAAGCTTCCCTACACCCTTCTATACAAACTTGTTCTTCTGCATCAAGAGTTGCTTAGACGACTGGGGACTTTGGACCCAGAGAGGGAAAGGGACTGTGGGCCGAAAACTGGGGAGAGGAGGGGGAAGTGTAGGGGGCGGGTTTCTGGGATATACCCTTTGGGTGGTTGATGATGCATGGAGGCGATTGGAACCATGGCAATGAGATGTTATACGATGGAATGAATGCAAAACTAAAGTTCTCCCATGTAAACTATCATATAATTCACAATAAAACATTAAAAAAAGACCCTTCACTGTAGAACAGGAACCCCATGGCCCAGGTCTCCCTGGTTGCCCAACAAGAAGCCTGACCCCCAGGATTCTACTCTCCCCCCCCTTCCGCTTATTCAGCCAGCTGGGCCCCCTACCCCGCACCTTGCATATGGCCTGCAGCTCCTCACTCTCCTTGTCGTAGGAGGCCAGGAGGAAGCCCCCATAGCGGCCGGCCCGCTTCCCCCGGCCCAGATAGGCTCCGATCACCACGAGGTCCAGGGTGTCACCCACTCCCTCGAGGTAGTCCTTCTTCAGCTGGCAGAGGGACAGATGGCAAGAGGTGAGGGGCAAGCATCTGTGGTGGGGTCCTCACTACGGGAGGTCAGGCAGTGAGTGGGAGAGGGCCTGGGATGAGTCTCTGGAGAACCTCCAGAAAGAAGGCTGGATGGTTACCGAGAAGGAAGGGACTCCAGGCTTCCAGAAGAGCAGAGCAAAGAGGAAGGGGCTCCTGGGAATGAGAGCAGCAGGCTGGCCTGGGGCTGCAGGGGGAGGACTGGGGCTCAGCCATGGTTTCCTTACCATCCGGAAGGCATCTACTTACTCCTCCCAACTCCCTTCATCCACTCGCTCCTTCACACACAGAACACGTATCCATCCACTCAGGAACACCTCTAAGTGCCCACGGTGTGCCTTGGTGCAGAGACACAGGCTTCCTTCAGGAAAACATGTATCCATCCACACAGGAAGCACTGCCTAGGCCCTGATGGTGTGCCTTCATGTGAAGACCCATGCACCCCACTTCCTCCTTCACACGGAGAACACTTACCCATCCCGTCAGGAAACCTTTATTAGGTACTAGCAGTATACCTCAGTACAAACACTCCTACTCCCTCATCCATTCACCACTTCACATGAACACACATCCATCCATTCAGGAAACCTTTATGAGGCATGATGGTGACTTGGTAGAGACACATGCTCCCCGCTCGTCCCTGCACACAGAGAACATTATCCATCCACTCAGGGAACACTTATTAGGCACCGGCAGTACACTAGGCGGGAGCTCGGCACTGGGGATGTAACACTGGATGTTTCCTGAGACAGGAGAGGTTTGCACTGCCCTAGCTTCAGGGGAGACCGAGTGTGAGCTGTTGAATCTGGCAGGGGAGACCAAGCGTGGACAAACTCAATAAATGCACAGCTAAGTCCACGGCTCGATTTCTAAAGCGCCTTCCTGCTTCACCACCCTCACTGCAAGAACCTCCTGACCCTCTTCTGGAGCCCCAGCCACTTTCCACACAGCGGCCAACAGACACTCAGAGCAGGTGGATCCCCCACCACCAAAGCTCTCTGGCTTCCTGGAGCCCTGACAGGAGATCTAGGTGCTACATGGTCTGGTCCATCTCCTCTGACCTTGCCTCACATCAAGTGGCTCCTATCACAGGGCCTTTGCACTTGCTGTACCTATGCCCTGCCCCCACCTTCATCGGCTGGCTCCTTCTTGTCATCCACACCTCCATCCATATATTCCCTCTGAAAAAGTTCTTCCTAACCACTCAGCACCTGGCTCGTCCCTCTCTGGGCCCACCATCACCTCCCTGACCACCTGTGTGTCTGACTCCTTTTCTTCTGTCCTCACCTGATGCTGAAAGGCAAGCTTCAAACATGACAGACCCACAGCCATCGAGTCGATTCCAACTCATGGCGACCCCACGTGTGACAAAGGAGCAGCGTCACTCCATGGGGTTTCCTTCTGTGATCTTTCCAGATGTGAATCACTAGGTCTTTCTTCCATAGCACTGTGGGTGGGGGGTTTGAACTGCCAACCCTCAGGTTACGACGAGGGGGCTTCCAAAAGTTTGTGGGAAAATTCATGATCTTTTCACCCATTATCCCATGAGATTTTTGGAAGGTCCCTCATAGTGGTTGCTCGTAGCACCCAGGTGGGGGGAGGGCTGAGGCCAGCCTGGAATTGACAGCGTGGGACTCGCAGTGCTTAGGGCTTGGCTGGTAGCATCTTCTCTACAGACTAACTGGGAACTCAGTAACAGGGCAGGAAGAGAGGCAGGGTAGATCTGTAAAGGACTCCTGAACTCAAACAGGCAGGAAGGGTGCAGACTTCAGACCTGGGCCCCAGTGGGGCGGGCGGCGTCACCTTGAGCCAGTTGTGTGACCTCCTGGCGATCTCGTAGGTGGCATCAACATCCAGGGTCTTCACCATCAGTCCCTCGCATGAGTCTGGAGAGACACAGAGGTACATGTAGAGTGTTTCGGGGCACTCTGCAGATAGTTTCCCACAAACGGATCAAGCCAATCTACTGGCACCATTTTCCAAGAGCGTGTGCTCAATTGGTGTCATTAGATTTCAATCCTCTTCGTAATCTACTGCACCATGAGCTCTGCTGGCACCGTAGGATAAACACTGAACTGCTGACCACAAGGTCGGTGAATCAAATCCACCAGCTGCTCCTTGGCAACGCTATCCAGGGTCGCTATGAGTCGGAATCAACTCCATGGCACGTAACAACAGCAATCAAAGGGTGTTGATGTGGGGCTGTGGGACAAGCACTGGACTGCTGACCACAAGGTTGGCTGGAGGTGTGATCCCACCAGTGGGAGAAAGAGGAGGCTTTTTGCTCCCGTAAAGATTTAGTCTTGGAAACCCCATACAGGGCTGTACTGAGTCAGAACCAGTTCGATGGTAGTGGGATCAGTTTTAGACTTTGGGTATTGCACACGGGATAGACTACAGTCCAGTGTGTTGTTGTTAAGTGCTGTCAAGTCAGTTCTGACTCATAGTGACCCAGTCTAGGGCATCGGAGGAGTGGCTGCTGGATTGGAACTGCGAGTTTACTACTTATCCTGCACTATCACACCAGGACATAACTTCTCTACGTACTGGGAAACTAAACACTTTGTAGGACTTGCTTGATTGCAATGTCTGCTTTATTGTTTTGGAACTGAACCCCCAGAGTCTCAGGTCTGCCTGTATGCCTCTCATGAGTCCTCTGCTCCCCAGGGCTGGAGCAAGAAGGACTTCCACTTGCTGTAGATTGAATTGTGTCCCCCCAAAAGTATATAAATGAAAGCCACTCTACCTGAGGGTAAGGAGCTTTGGTAGCTTAGTGGTTACAAGTTGGGCTGCTAATCTCAAGGTCAGCAGTTCAAAACTAGCAATGGTCCAATGGGAGAAAGATGAGGCTTTCTGCCCCTGTACATATTTATAGCCTCAGAAACCATGTGCAGGGTTGCTATGAGTCAGGATTGACTCCACAGCACATACCCACCACACCTGTGGATAGAGTCCTGTGACATTGTAGGACAAACACCAGACTGCTAACTGCAAGGTTGGTGGTTCAAACCTACCAGCTGCTCCTCGGAAATCCTACAGGGTTACTCGGAGTCAGAACTGACTTGACAACAGTTAACAACAGCATACCTGTGGCTACAATCCCATTTGAGAATTTGTTATATTAAGGATACATTTGGATATATAAGGCTAAATATTTGAGATAAGAAAGTTGATGGAGCACAGAATCACACAGGTGGGGGTACCACCTGGAGACCACCAAGAAGGAAAAGAAGTTGAAAGACAAGGACATTCCTCCATATCAGTAGAAGGCTATCTGAAACCAACTACTTCTTACAACAATAAGCAAAAACCCAAAGTATAATGCATATACCATGCCGTTTAAAATCATTTCAAACGCACTATTCAACAGCTTTTAATAACAAGGGGTTTTCAAAAGTTTGCGATAAATGGAATGAAAAGATAATGGATTGTTTCCCATGAGCTTTTTAAAGCCTCATTGTATACTCAGGGTTGTTTATATAAGCTGATCACTGTTGAGACATAAAAAGAGTAGATCGGCAGGCAGGCAGAGATGGAGGAAGACACGCCACCACATGAAGAGCTCCTGCCAAGGAACCTAGGAACAGAGCTGGAGAGGAGACAGGGACTTTCCAGAGCCAACCAAGAAGCCTTCCCTAGAGCCAGCGCCCTGAATTCAAGCTTTTAGCCTCCAGAGTGGAGAATAAATGTCTGCTTGGTAGAACCACCCACTTGCGGTGCTTCTGTTCGAGCAGCACCAGAGAACTAGGAAAGCACTCAGATCGCCTTGGGTGAGCGCTGTTGGGCTGAGTCTGCGCAGGCTGCAAGTACAAGGAGAGTGTGCCCTCACCTCTCACCGACTGCTCCAGGAACTCAGCGATCTGGTCCGTGTCCTTGGTGTCCAGGGAGGTGGCAAAGACAAACTCGCCCTCCGTCTCCACGAAGTTCTCCCGGAGCAGCTGTCGGCGTCGGGAAAGGGGCTCCCGGACCAGAGACTGAAGGGAAGAACGTGACATCATGTAAAACAGAGAATAAGCCAGGCCGGACTCCTGGTGTGGCACTGTGGGATAAGCACTGACCACAAGGTCGGCAGTTCAAACCCTATACAGGGTCGCTGAGTCAGAACTGACTCGACGGCACTCAACAACAACATGGACCAGCTGAAGGAGCCCTGGTGGTACAGTGGTTAAAGTGGCCGGTTGCTCATCAAAAAGCCAGTAGTCAGAACCCACCAGCCTCTGTGCAGGAGAAAGCCTTGGAAACCCCATAGGGTAGGTCTACTCTGTCCTGAGTGTGCTGTTAGTCAGAATCAACGGGACAGCAGGGGGTTACGGATTGACTTGTTTCCCAAAAATGGGTATTATAAATCCTAACCCTGAAAATTGTCATCAGGAGGGACCAGTCCCTGGAGAAGGACATCATGCCTGGTACAGTGGAAGCTCAGCGAGAAAGAGGACGACCCCCACCGAGATGGATGGACATAGTGGCTACAGCAGTGGACTCAGCCCAGCAGTGAGTGTGAAGGTGGAGCAGTGTTTTGTTCTGTGCACACGGGGTTCTGAGGAATTAGAATTCATTCGACAGCACCAAACAACAGCAACATACCTAAGGAAAGAGCCTTGGTAGTTCAGGGGTTAAGCTCTGCTGCTAACCAAAAGGTTGGTGGTTTGAACCCACTAGCCGCTCCACAGAAGGAGACCTGGAGACCAGCTTCAGTCAAGAGCTTAGGAAACCCTACGGGGCAGTTCTACTCTGTCTTTCAGGGTTACTGTTGTTGTTAGGTGACATCGAGTCACTACCGACTCATAGTGACCTTATGCACAGCAGAACGAAATGCTGCCTGATCCTGGGCCAACCTCACTGCTGTTGCCACGCTTGAGTCCACTGATGCTGCTACTTTGTCAATCCATCTTGCTGGAGGTCGTCCTCTTTTTCTCTGACCCTCCACCTTACCAACATGATATCCTTCTCCAGTGACTGGTCCCTCCTGATGATATGTCCAAAGTATGAGACACGAAGTCTGGCCATCTTGGCCTCCAAGGAACACTCTGGCTGCACTTCTTCCAACACAGATCTATTGGTTCTATGGGCAGCCCATGGCACTCTGACTTGATGGTAATGGCTTGTTTTTTGTTGTTATTGTTTTTTTAAATACCTGTGGCTGTAATCCCCTTTGGGAAGAGGATTTTATTTCCTATGATAATGGGCCATATCCAATGTAGGGTATGTTTATAGTCTATCACTTTGAGATACGAAAGATTGGGCACAGAAATGCACAGGTGGGAGACATCACCTGGAGACCACCAAGGAGGACAGGACAAAGACCTTCCTTCAAAATGGACAGAGCCAGAGCCTTCCTCTTAGAGCTACTACTCTGAATTCATACTTCTAGCCTCCCAAACGGTGCGATAATCAGTTTCTGTTTGAGAAAGCCACGCACTGTGGGATTTCAGTTGTAGCAGCACTAGAGAACTGAGACAGCCCCCAGAGATGAGACGTGGGGGGAAAGGAACAGGTAAGCCACAAGTTACAAGGTGGCTCCTGAGAAGCCCTGGCAGGGCCGACCTGTGAGGATGCTGAGGACGAGGCCAGTCCTTCACAGGAGGGGCTGGAGGAAGAGCATCATGCAGCTGCAGCAATAGTCTTGAGTGTGGACACTTTCATTATTAGTGAGTTACCACCTGTCAGCTCCAAGTCACGGTGACCACGTGGTACAACAGAACACAACACTGCCCGGCCTGTGCCATCTTAACAATGCTTCAAGTCCAGTGTTGCGGCCACTGTGCATTTTGCGTGCCTTCCCCTCCTAGGGGGCTTACATTCTAGCACTACATCAGACAATATTCTGTTGTGAGCCATACAGGGTTTCCCTTGGTAGTTTTTTGGAAGCAGATTGCCAGGCCTTTCTTCCTAGTCTCTCTTCAGTCACCACCCACTTGTCAGTCTGTCGTACTGTGGTGGCTTGTGTGTGGCTGTGATGCTGGAAGCTATGCCACTGGTATTTCAAATCCCAGCAGGATCAGCAGAACTTCCAGACTAAGACTTATGCTTTATTAAAACTAGTTATTGAATTGATTCTGACTAATGATGACCCATACGGAACAGAATAAAACTGAGCTCACAGGACTTTCTTCCACGATGCTGCTGGTTGGGTTGTGAACCACCAAGCTCCTGGTTAGTAGATAAATGCAGATCATTTGTGCCACGCAGGCACAGTAGGGAGCTGGAAAAGGTCCTGAGACCACATACTTTGAGAGCACTTCCACAGTGTGGCCTCTCCGTTAAGTGAAGGGGTAGAGTCAGAAGCAGTCCCTCCCGAGCTCTCTGCACCCCCGCCCGCCCCTCAACCTCTGGCTGGACAGGAAGTCAGAACTCACCTCGCCGTTGAGGTAGATGAGGTCAAAGGCATACAAACACACCTGCACCTGGATTTCCGATGCATCCACGTCCTGGGTTGGGATAGAATGGAGACAGGGGTGAGGGAAGGTGAGAGGGCTACTGGTGCCTGAGGCCACCTGCTGGCAGAATCACATGTCTGCGGGCAGCAGTGTGGCCAGTCCTGGGCGCTTTAATGTGCTGGCCCTCAGCTAATCCCAATAACCTCCCTCTGCTGGAGACCGGCTTTCCTAACATTCTTTGCAGTTAGTGGTAGTCACATGACACAATTCCAGTCAATGAGAAGCACAAAGTGTGCAGGCTACGGGCACTACAGTAAAAAGATAGAAATGCAGGGGAAAAGTCCCTCTTCCCACTTTCTACTTGGGATGTTGGGATGAGTACTTGATGGCTGGAGCTGTGGCAGCTAGTTTGCTGAAGGCTCAATTGCCTCCCGAAGAACACTCAGCCTTTCTGAACATTTGGCCACACCAGTGGGCTAGGTGGGCTGGGAGAAAGGACAGTGGTAAAGGAGGTAGAATGGGGTAGGGATGAGGTGGTGGTGAAGGAAGGCCAAGGCTACCTTGCGTTTGCGGGTAGTGAGTACTTGGAAGGGCTGGATTTGCTTCTTTTCCCGGTCCCAAGCCACAGCCTCAGTGTCCAGGATAAAGGAGGTGGCAGACGGGAGTTTTATCTGAAAGGTGAAGGGGGATGCAGGACTAGTGAGAGGTGGAGGATGAGGTCGAGAGACAGACACAGGAAACACTCTCTTCTCTTTCCCCAGTTCTCAAGAGCTGCTGACTATAGCAGAGGTGAGCACGGCAGCTCTCTTCCTGTCCCCCTTTCCCGACGACTATGTGGGAGAGGAGCCACTGGCCAGCTCCCTGGCAGCCACTGGCTAGTTTTGCCTGTTCTAGAGTGTCAGAGTGGCAGGTGGGTTTGAACTGCCAAGCGTGTGGCTAGCAGTACAGTACTCCTCCTACAATGTCACCATGGCTCACACACACACGTAGACACACATATACGTTGTCGTTAGTGCCATCGAATCGGTTTGGACTCATAGTGACCCTGTGTATTCCATGGAGCGGCAGGTGAGCTTGAACTGCTAACCTTATGCTTACACACATGCACACACACACATGCTTAGCCTACTGAGCTATATGTCTATCATATATGGGAGCATGGTTACGCTGTAGGGTAAACTGAACTTCGAATCACAAAGTTGGCGTTTCAAGTTCACCTGTAGCTTCTGCAAAGATTTACAGTTTCAGAAACCCCACATAGGGTCTCTATGAGTCAAAACCAAGTGTCGACAGCACTTAACAACATACATGCAAATGAGCACACACAGGAGGGGCCTGTGGCAGCTGCCGAGCTTCCCTCAGGCTGTTCTGGCCTCTCCTGAGTTGGGGTGACCACAGGACCTAGTGCTGGACAATGAGCTGAGCTAGAGTCCGGGGACACTGGGGTTGGAAGCTGGAACTCCGTCCCTCTGTCCTGTCTGATGGTGTGGCTGCTGTCCTGGGACTCTAAGGGGGCAGGTGCTGGGATGAAAAGCCAGCAGCGGAGGACAGTGTAGGAGAGACAGAGCAAGCTGGTTTGAGAGCACAGCTCTGCACAGCTGGGCTGGCCTTGCTCCGCCCGCCTCCAGATTTCTCTGAGAAAAAACAAGACAAGCTTAAGCCACTGTGTATGAGCCCTGGTGGAGCAGTGGATAAGCGCTCAGCTGATAACCAAAAGGTGGGTGGCTTGAATCTACCATCAGCTGCTCCACAGGAAAAAGATGTGGCAGTCAGCTTCTGTATAGATTGTCAGCCTTGGAAACCCTATGGGGACAGTTCTACTCGGTCCTAAAGGATCACTAGGAGTCAGAATTGACTTGTCAGCAATGGGTTTGATTTGGGCTGTGCCACCTGTCAAGTGTGTCGTGCTATGGTGCTACATGTGACTGTGTGTTTTACATGCCTGCAGGGTCACCCGTGTGGGCAGAGTCCAGACCAAGATAGACTAGGAAAAAAGGCCTGGTGATCTGCTTCAGAAAATGAACCAGTGAAAACCCTACGGACCATAAGAAAAAGGTGCCGGATACAGTGCTAGCAGATGAGGCCTTCAACCTGGGAGGAGGTAAAACACACCACCAGTTGGAACCACCTCAATGGCAAGTGAACACAAGTCACTGGGAGCAGGTACTCGGCCACTGGAGGCCTCGCGCACACTCCACTCCTGACTCAACAGCCGTCACTGCGGCCCCCCTCAGAGTGGGCATGGAAGACACCCACCTTGGGGATTCGGCTGATGATGTCAGGGTACTTCCCGGTATTGTCTTCCTGGTTCCGGCTGAAGATCTTCACCTCACCGCCTTCCAGAACATGGATCTGGCCACCGTGTAACACAAGACAGAAAGGAAGTCAGAGCTGCATACAATCCAGGGTGCCCACCTTTCTCCCTGAACCTCAACCTCACTGGCGGAAGGTTCTAGAAACTCTGGAAGGAATGGTGCAGAGGCCTGAGTGCATTGTCTCCTCACTGTGTGTGGGGAACCTTCCCCAAGTTTTGTTTCATTATCCATAATCCCTGTTTCCCCTCCCGCCCCATAAACAAAGTGTCTTGCTGTGTGCGTATCTGTGGATTTGCCCAAATGCTATTAAGCCCTATAAATTATTTTTGTTTTTATTGTTTATTTATTCATTCCTGCATTACTATTTAAAAAATACTATTAGTGTTTTTGGTGAAGAATTACATGGCAGTTTAGGTTCCCATTCAGTAATTTCTCCACAAAGTTGTTCAGTGCCAAGGGTTGCATCCTTTACAAAGTGTGAACATTCTCATGGTTTTGGATCTAGCAGCACTGTTGCCATTTCTTTACTTTAATAATTTGGCCGCCTTACATTCTCTCCGTTGTTGTCAAATCGATTTTGCCTCTTGGCCCAGTGTGAGTCACTGAACTGTGCTCCAGAGTTTTCAGTGGCTGATTTTTCAGAAGTAGACCGCGAGGTCTACTTTCGTGGCACCTCAGGATGGACATCTATCTAACCTTTTGGTTAGCAGTCGAGCATATTACACATTTGCACCCTCCAAGAACTCCAAGAAAATAGTTGTTGTTGTTTTAAAAAAACCATTGTCACTTGCTGTAAATCATTTGGTTTATTTTTTTCCTCAACACTTGGATTTCTAAGATCCGATCCACGTATAACCCCCAGTGCTCTTAGCTGGGGCACAGTGCTGAATATACACATACCCTCTAGGCTTTCCTTATTTACTCCCCATGAGACAAATGCCTCGATGGTCCTCAGCTGCCCACCAGGACAAATGAGCCAGCCTAGCACGGGGTCATAGAACACACGTGTAACTGTGCTGAGGATGACCCAGGAGGCTGTTCTCATTCCCACACCCACCAGCCGGGCACAAGTGGAGCCCTTTCCTCAGCCCCCACTGCTGTGGGTCAGGACTTTGGGGAGCTGGATATTCAGGCAAAGGAGCCCTCCTGGCACAACAGTTAAGTTGTTGGTTCGAATCTGCCCAGTGTCTCCTCAAAAAAAGACCTGGGGATCTGTTCCTGACAGGATTCCCAGCCAAACGCACTGCCGCTGAGTCAATCCCGACTCACAGTAACCGCGTAGGACAGAGCAGAACGGCCCCTCAGTGTTTCCGAGGCTGCCACCCTTCTCCCTCAACGTGGCTGGGGGTTTGAACCACTGACCTCTCAGTTAACAGAGCTCCCTCCCACCCCTGGTGACCACTAATAAATGCTGGTCTCTACATATTTGCCTGTTCTGGATACCTTACATAAGTAGGACCACACAGTATTTGTCCCTTTGTGACAGACTGACTTCACTCAGCTAAATGTGTTCAAGGCCCCTCTGTGTGTGGCGTACCTCAGGATTACATCTCTCTCCATGGCTAAATAAGATGAGCGGGCTTCAAAATGCTCGTGGATAAAAGGAATGAAAAGATACAGGATTTTTTCCACAAACGAACTTGTTTTGGAGCCCCCTTGTATTTTAGTTTGAATGGATCACATTTTATTTATCTATTCCTGTTAAGGAACCCTAGTGGCACAGGGCAGCAAGCACTGAGCTCTAACCAAGAGGTCAGCTGTTCAAACCTAACAGCCACATGTGGCTGTCTGCTCCCATAAGGCTTACCATCTCAGAAACCCCACGGAGCAGTTCTACTCTGTCCTAGAGGGTGGCTAGGAGTCCGAACCGGCTCCACAGCAGTGGGCTGACTTTGTTATTCCTCCGTCGTTGAGCCGATTCCAGCCTCAAGGACAGAGTAGAACCGCCCCATCGGGTTCCCGGGGCTGTTGGTTTGCATGGATGCAGACTCCTGCATCTCTGTCCCGAGAGGCAAATGGTGGGTTTGAACCGTCAACCTGCTATCAGCCGAGTGCTATGACTGCTGCACCACCACAGCTTGCCCACTAAAGTTCATGAAAACCCTACACATGGGGCAGTTCTAATCTTGTCACCTGGAGTCCCTGAGTCACAACCACCTTCACGGCCCTCAGCAACAGTGATATCTTTAGGGAGGCTGCTGAGGTGGTCATGTCACACCCACTGAGATAGAAGCTACAGCGCAGACTGGCCAGGCCAAGCAGGCAGCAGGTAGGTCCATTCTGGCTGCTCCTTGTCCAGCTGTCCAGTTCTCCATGTCTGGTGAAGGCACGTGTCCCCCTATCTACGCTTAACAAAGGGACATGTCCCCTCCACCCCGATCTGTACCAGGTCAACACAGTGCCCACCTCTATCTGTGATTGGCAAAGGCACATGTCCCCCCACCTGTACTAGGTGAGAGCCTGTGCCCCACTCTGACCTGTGCTTGGTGAAGGTGTGGTCTCGCCCCTACCTGTGCCCTCTGCCCATCATATTTGTATTCGCAGGTGAAAGCTGCCTCCTCGAAGCGCTTCAGAACCTCGCTGACGCCCCGGGTGGGATGGGCCAACATTGGTTTCAGGGGGACCCCTAGGAGGGGAGAGAATGGAGTTTTATGAGAGATGCGGGGAACAAAGGGAAAGTGATAAATGAGAGAGGCAGTGTGATAGAGATCACTAATCTGGGGTTCACAGTGACCTTGTACTACTGAGTTGCCCCATAGGGTTTTCATCTTTAAGGGAGCAGAGTGTCAGGGGCTGCTGGGTGGGTTGGAGCCACTGACTTTTGGGTTAATAGCTGAGCATTTAACCAGAGGATCATGAAGCCAAAACAACCACCCGTCACCATAGCAACGACCCAGTTCCCAGGGACCCGACAGGATGAAGCAGAAATGCTCTGTGTCTGAGGAGGCTGGCTGCCACGTCTTTCTCCCATAGAGCGGCTGCTGGGTTGGAACCACCAACCTTCCTGTTAGCAGCTGAGCACTTAAGCATTGTGCCACCAGGGCTACCTGTATAGTCTCCCACCCCCCATACAGGAGAGGAAACATCGGGAGAGGTGGGAGGGGCTTCTGCTCGGCAGTAAGAGGCCAGGGTGTGAGCACAGGCAGGGCCGGGGTGTACCTGGGCTCAGCTTGCAGTGCTCGGGCAGATGCTCCAAGCCATGCTCCAGCAGCACAGGCACAATGCGGTCCAGGTCTGGAACCTCGCTGGTGGGGGCGAGAGGAGGGAAGAGAAGAGGAAGCTCTTTCTGGAGTCTGACCACACCCCCGGCAGCCTGGGCTCACTCAGGCCCCTCTGCCCCCTGTCTCTCATCCCCAGGCCCGACAACCATCAGCCAGACTCTGGCATGGTTTATTCCCCGACTCAGTTCCTTCTGTCACCATCATCAGACCAGTGACTGCCCCTCCCGGGGGCACATGAGAACCAACCACTCAAGGATGTATGAAAAAAACAACAACATTTTTTTAGAACAAGCCAGGACCCACCTTCCAGAGATAGAAGGTGGGGCACGGAGCCAGTACTTTCCGGACTCCAACAGAGACAGAGCTAAGGCCACTGCCAGGGACTGACCTTGGCCAGGCCCTCTGGATAGCCACTGTCTCTTGGCTGCCCATTGCCCTCTCCTGCATCTCCTCATGTCAACTCACAGACCCTCACCATCACTGCCTGCACTGCCTGTCATCTCCTTCATCTTTGTCACGACCCCATGCCACAAACCAACTAGTCTTGTCACCCTAGCACCAGCAGGCCTGGCCCGCCATGGCAGCCTCTACCCCTCACACTCGGCTCCTTGGTGCTTTGTACCCCCAGCCCCTCAAAGTGACTCAGCCTTCCAGCCTGGCTCTTTTGCTCTGAGTCCCAAGCTACAAGCCTCCACAGCTTCCACTCCCCATGCTTGGCCCATCTGTACCCCATGCTCAGTACCCCACCCCGTGCCTCCTGCATCCTATCCCTCATCATTCACACCCCCACTCCTGTCCCTCCAGACCCGCCTGGTCCCTCGCTTGCACCAGACTCACCAGAACGTCTGCTTCAGGATCATACTCTGCTCGTCCAGCCATGTCTTTCGGGCCTCCGCTGCCTTGCCCTTCCCAGCATCCACCACGGCTGGGGGGAATTCTAGGAAAGAACCCAGCAAGGCTGAGTTGGGTCCACCCGCTCAGCTACCCTGGGATCCCACAGTGGGTAGTTGAAAGGGGACAGGGAGGTAGCTTCCAGTGAGAGGAAGGTGTGGGGGACAGGAGGAGGCAGGGACCCTGAGGAATGGGGTCACTGAGGGAGGGGGCCAGAAAAAAGGACCCTGGCTAACTAGAGTCATGGGTCCCCAGACTGGCCAATGGCACTCACCTTGTCCAGGGGGTGTAAGGCTCACAGCCTGAGCCAGGGCAGCTAGGACCGACTGTTCGGCCAGTCCAAGGCGCAGCCGGCCGCTCAGGGACCTGGAAGGAAGAGGGGGAAGAAGAGGAGTCATGGGTTTGTTCACACCTTTCTAACCTTACAGTCTGCATCTGGCTTCTCCATACTCAAGGGCCTCCCACTTCTTAGTGAACCCTCTTCTCAAAATTCAGAACAATCTTTATCTTTGCTGTTGCTGAGAAGCTACATAGCAGAACACTGACCATGAGATGGAGCCTGTATCCCCCACCCCCAGGCCTGAGCCCCTGACCTGCTTGCCTCACTGAGAGCCATCTGGGTCTCACAGGCCCACACTCACCGGGCGATGAATCGGGCTTCTGAGTGACGGCAGGCCACAAAGAGGCCTTTGATGATGTCTATCTTCTTGGCTGTGGACTGTAAGAGGCCAGAGACGAACAGTGAAGGGCTGGCGGGAAGAGGGCACATTTCCTCCCACAACTGAGCCACCCCTTGCTTTCAGCACAGTTAAAGGGGGTTGCGGCTCTCCTCTTGTCCCCTCCCAGGGTCAGTAGTAACAGAATCCTGTGGTGTGCTGGAGTCCCTGGGTAGAGCAAGCGGTTAATGGGCTCAGCTGCTAACGGAGAGAATGGAGGTTGAGTCCACCCAGAGATGCCTCAGAGAAAAGGCCTGGAGATCTACTTCTGGGAAAGCAGTCAGTGGAAAGGTTACAGGGCGCAGATCCACTGATACCATGGGGCTTTCACTAAAAAAACAGAAGCAGACTGCCAGGCTTTTATTCCGCCCACTGGGTGGGTTTGAACCACCAGCCTTTAGGTTTGGCAGTGGAGTGCTTTAACCTCTGTGCCACTCAGGAAGCTGCACTGAGTGTTTGGATCGTAGATTGCTCCCTGTCCTGAGAGCAGGGAGGAGACATCCAACCCCAGTCAAGCCAGGAGGTAGCCAGTCACACACGTGCTGTGGTGGCTCCCGTCCATCCTGAGGACACACGCACAGGGTCACCCACCCCGCCCACTCACAGCGCTGCCTGCCAGCCGGGCAATGTCTCGGAATTTGGCGAAGACCCCGGAGGCGGTGAGCGGAGGTGGGGGCAGCATGATCCTCTGAGTGCTGCGGCTGCTCTCGGCCACCAGCCCCACGTCGCCCTTCTCAGCTGCCTCGGCCCGCACGGACTCCAGCTGCCGACCTTGGGGAGAAGGGATAGGGTGGGCAATGAGGTGAGAGTCGTCCTTCTCGTCAGCCTGGGCAGGGGTCCCCAGGCTGTGTGGGCTGGTGCTGGGCCCTTGGGCTCTCCATTCGTAAGGCTCATCTAGAATCTCTGGGTGGACAAACAGGCAAGCACCTGACTATTAATTGAAAGTATGGCAGTTCAAGTCCACACAGAGGCACCTCAGCAGAAAGGCCTGGTGATGTGCCTGTGAACGGTCACTGCCCTGAAAATCCCACAGAGCACAGCTCTACTCTGACACACACACAGTGTTGGCCAGCAACTGGTTTTTTATTTTGTTTCTCCATTGAAATGTCTCGTTACCAAACTGGCCTCCGTGATGTAGGTGCTGAGAGGCTAATATATGGAAGTCCTCCGTCCGGTAGGTGTGAGCGTGCCTGGGATAGCTAAGGTTTGTGCTACCTTGACCAGGCCACAATTCTCAATGGTTTAAACTGTTAAAGTGTACTAATCCCATGCTGTTGTTAAGTGCCACTGAGTTGGTTCCGACTCACAGTGACCCTATAAAGGGCTCTCAAGAATGCCTGATGGGTCTGATGGGTCGACCTTACGATGTGCAGTCCAGTGCTTAATGTCCAGCGCTGCACCAGGACTGCAATCCCACATGATGAGCTAACTCTCTCCATCATCGTGTGACCTGACGTGAGCAGCCTTTATGTACCGTAAACCCTCACTTCTGTGACGCTCACCAGGCTGAGTGCAATCTCCAGGATTAGACTGGAACCTGAATCATCTCTTTTGAAATATTCAGAGTTTAAATAGGCAAGCTGAGTTCAAGGGGACTTACTACCACCAAGAAAGAAGAGGTGGGAGGGAAGGGACTGTAGACTTGGGGCCCTGTACTGTGAAGCTCCTAGATCCTAGACCCAGAGGAAGACTGGTGCCTAGATGCATGGAGACCTTCCAGGAATGTTGGGTCTACCGATGCTGAAAGGAAACAAGGGCCTTCCTCCAGAGCCGACAAAGAGAAGTAAGCCTTCCCCGAGAGCCGGCACTCGGAGTTTGGACGTTTAGCCTCCTAGCTGTGAGAAAGGAGTCCTGGTGTGGCGCTGTGGGTTAATGCGCTGCACTGCAAAGTCGGTTTGAACAGCAAGGTCGATGGTTCAAGCTCACAGTTGCTCCTCAGAAACCCTATCTAGGGTCACTATGGGGTTGGAACCGACTCAATGGCACTTAACAACAAGCTGTGGAGAATAAATTTTGTTTGTTAAAAGGCGTCCACCTGTGGTATTTCTATTACAGCAGCACTAGAGAACGAACAGGTGTTCTGGTGTGGTGCTGGAGGGTAAGCACTGGACTGCTATTCATGAGACTGGCGGTTCTACCCTACCAGCTGCGCCTTGGAAACCCTATACAGGGTCGCTCTGAGTTGGAACTGACTTGAAAATATTCAACAACCAAGAACGAAGACAGCGACCTAAAAAGGGGTCTTAAATAGGGGTCTTAGCAGATGTTACCAGTTAAGTGAACAAGGTCGTATCAGAGTAGGTGGGTCCCTGAAAACAGACAAACTGAGTCAGAGCCAACTGGATAGCAATGGGTCTGCTTTTGATATTTACCCATGCGAACACGTACACTTCACAACAACAACATGTACACACACCAACGACCTTCAAACAGTCTGTGGACAAATGTAACTGAAAGATAATGAAATTCCCCACGCACTGTTTGAAGACCCCTCTTAGTGTCACTGGTTTGGTTTTGCCAGGACCCTGAGCCTGTCCCACCATCACCTCACAGACCCTCCCCACCTGCCCCTCTTCCCTCTCGAATCTCTCCACCACAGCCCTTTCTCACCTGTGGCCTGGGCCACTGCCTTGAGGAGGACACCGTCACCGACGCCAAGCTCCAGACCCTGCTGGGGCGGCCCCAGGAGGTTGAGGCTGAGGTAGAGGGCAGGTAGGAGGTCTGAAGGCGACAGGGTCACCACAGAGCGCAGCAGGTTGCTCAGCGTCTCCACCATCCGGAGCCTGGAGGGAAGGGACAGGAGGTATGGTGACCGGGTTCCTCAGGATATAATGTAAGTGGGACCAGGGACTAGAGAAGTGAAAGGGTTCTAGTACATTCCAAGGCTCAAGACTTGGAGCCACAGGCACATCATGCACAGCATTTACTCCCAGGTTGCACAGTTAAGGACTCCACTTTTCAACAAGAGGTGGCATTTCTAACCCACCCAGAGACACCTCAGAAGGAAGACCTGGTGACCTGCTTCCAGAAGGTCACAGCCTCAAAATCCTCAAGGAGCACAGTCTGCCTTCACACATGTGACTGTGCCAAGAGGTGGAAAGAGCTCTATGGCAACTGGTTTGGTTTGCTGGTTTGGTTGGGAGGGAAATTTGGTGCCAAGTCCAAAGGCAATCTTCTTAGAAGGTAGGGGGTTTATGTTACACAGTGTGGAAAAGAGGGCCAAGAAATGGCTGCCCAACTTAAGAATGCTGTCAACATCACTACATTGGACACATGGAAAAGGGTTGAACTGGCATGTGATTCGTTGTTTACATGAGCATTTTCATGAAAATAAAAAAATATTTAACGAAAAAAAGGCTATTTGATGTCAATGATGGTGGTGGTTGTTGTTACATGCCACATGAGGCACAGAGCAATGACGGCCCCCTCCCCACACCATCCCACACCACCCCCACCCCAGCAGGCCCACTCACATACCGAGCAGAAACTTCCTCGATCTTCTCAAAGGTCCGGGCCACGGCCAGATAGGGGACCCTGAGGAAGGGAAAGGGCTCTGGGGCAGTTTCCCTCCCCTCCCAAGCCCACACCCCACTCCGTGGCAGACTTGCTGAAGCCCAAATGCATGCAAGTCTGCTTCTGTAAAGATCACAGCTGGTGGGTTCAAACTGCAGACCTTGTGGTGAGCAGCAGAGCATTTCACCACTGCGCCACCAGGGCTCCCTCCACTAGACGGAGGTGACTTCAAAAAGTTGGTGGAAAAATGGAAGTGAAAGATCCAGTGGAACTTTACCACAAACTTTTTGAAGCCCCCTCGTGTATGCCCCAAACCCACTACCATTGAGTGAATCCCAATTCACAGCGACCCCGCAGAGCAGGGTAGAAATGTCTCGTAGGGTCTTCAAGGCTGTGAAAGCTTACAGAAGCTGACAGCCATCTCTCTCTCCCACTGAACAGAAGCAGCTGCTTATTTCCCCCAAAACAGGACGAGGGATTTGACCACTTGTAACTAGAGAGGTGGCTGTGGTGAGACTGCCGGGATGGGGGAGCCTCACTTCTGGCCGGGTTTCCAGCAGGCATCTTCAACGGGGTGATAGTTGTTCTTGGCAGGATTGTAGCAGGCTGGGTCCAGGGGCCTAGAAAGACAAAAAGGAGATTAAATAGGCTCATTGTGTGGGTCACAGAAAGTGCCTTCCTCCTGCTATGGTTTACTGAGCACTTGACTACTAGCTTAGAGATAGAGGTCAGTGGTTCTAATCTACCCAGTGGCACCGCAAAAGAGAAGCCTGGCGATCCTGTCTATACAGATCACAAAAACATTAGGGAGGCTCATGCACTTTCTATCCAACCATCTGAGACCAAAAGGGCAGCATGTGTCCCAGGACAAGGTTCAGAAGGGTTAGGAAAAGGGGAAGAATGAAAATGGAAACTACAGGAGGAAGTGGGGTACATAGGGTTCCATTGTGGTGACAGCAATCCGTTACACGAAGCGCAATGTATCCGTGTTGTTGAATGGACAACAATCTGTTCTGTGAACCTGCACCCAATTGACAGTAAAAGGTTTGTTGTTGTTAAGTGTTGCTGAGTCGGTTCCAACTCATCGTGACCCTGTGTGGGGTTTCTGAGGAGCAGCTGCTGAGTTCAAACCACCGGCCTTGTGGCTCAGAGTTCACGGTCCAGTGCATTGTCCACAGTGCCACACCAGGTTTGGATTTTGCATTTACTCTGTACCAGGCTCAAGGTCCAGGAGTGAATGGAAAGTCTCCTGACCTACAGTTTAGCTTGTTGTTGTTAGCGCCGTCGAGTCAGTTCCGACTCCTAGCAAGGAGCGGCTGGTAAGTTTAAACCGCTGACCTTCTTGTTAGCAGTTCAGTGTGGATCCTACAGTGCCACACCAGGACTCTAGGTGTGTCTTTTTTGTTTTGTTTTTTAAAAATAGTTTTGGTAAACAAAATAAAGCCAAGCACAGGGAGCGAGGGTGGTGGTGGGGGCAACGTCAGAGGGGCCTGAGGAGAAGCGAGGGAAGAAACCTGAGGAGAAGCCTGGGGGAGACGCCTGAGGAGACGACTGGGCAGACTGACATGGGGTCTGAGCAGCAGAGAGAGCAGAGGAAAGGGCATTCCAGACAAAGGGAACAGACAGGACCAAGGCCCTGAGGTGGACATATGCTGGACAAGCATGAGGAACAGAAAAGGACCCGGGTCACTGGAGCCAGGGTGGTACAGCAGGTTAAGTGTTGGGTTGCTAATAACAAGGTCAGTGGTTTGAACTCACCAGGCACTGGGCAGGAGAAAGATGAGGCTGTCTGTTTCTGTCACACTTTACAGTCTGAGACCAAGTGGGGCAGTTCTGCTCTGTCCTACAGGGTCACTAGGTTTGGTCTTTTTCTGAGTGACTGGAGCACAGGGACATAACCTGAATGTTTTCTAGAGCCCGCTCTGCAGAAGAGGCTGTGCGTCTAACCCGATCTAGTGGTTGGAGTCCTGGTGGGCCGCTGTAGGATCAGCACTGGACAGCTAACCGCACATCAGTGATTCACACCCACCAGCTGCTATATGGGGTCGCTATGAGTCCGAACAGACTCGATGGCACACAACAACATTCCACTGGTTATTAAGAAAGGACAGTCCCCGGAGTGGGATACCATGCTGAAATAGAGCGTTCAGTGAAAAAGGAAATCCCTGAATATGATGGAATGGCAGTGGCTACAATGGGCTTATTAAACTAAACCTAACAACGGCAGTGCTCCCACATACCGCTCCTGTCCCCTCTCTAGCCCCACCTTCCCCTTTGTCCCCTTCTCGTCCAGCCACACCGGCCTTCATGCTACTCCTTGGACATCCCCAAACACACTCCCACCTCAGAGCCCAGACAATGGTGTCCCCAGCATCGGAAACCATCTTTCCCCATGGCAGATCACTCCTTCATTTCCATTAAGCCTCTTCCTCAGATTCCTGCTCCTTCTCTCTGCTTTATTCTCTTACATCAGGCATCAGGGAGCCCTGGGGGTGCACAGATCAGCAGCCCAACTGCTAAGGAAAGGCTGGCAGTGTGGACCCACCCCCAGACCTGATACCCCCAGACCTGACAGGATCCTGCAGGACAGTTCTCCTTTGGTCATTCTGAGCCAGGATTGACTTGATGACACCCAACAACAGGGAGCGAGGAGGAGACTGACATGAAACTAGGTAAGTAGAGCCTTGAGGAGCCCACCCTGTATTGTGGAGTCCCAGATGGGCCTAGATTGGGGCCTGACCTTACTGTTTTGTAGAGTGTTTTTTTACATCCATGTGCCTGTTTATTCACCAAACCTTCACCAAACCTCCAGTGACATGTAATTGGCTGAGACATCATCCCTTCTAAGCACAATGACAGTGCACTTACACATGGTGTATAGCAGCTCTGGTATCACAGTGGGTAAACGCTTTGTTGTTAACTGAAATGTTAGCGGCTTGAACCTACTACCCAGAGAGAGGATCCTTGGGAGAACGACCTTGCTTCTGTAAAGATGATCACCTGGGAAACACAACTGGTTTCCCAGTGGTAACTATTATTATTATTCAGTGGTTCTACTCTGTCATATGAGTCAGAATCGACTGGACAGTACATGACAATGAATGAATGAACAACCTATTCAGTGCCCCATGGCCCCAGTCACTGAGAGCAACCAGAAGCCCAGAGCAGGGAGAAGAGGCTGGAGTGGCCCACCCCCAGCAAGGTGGGTGGCAGGGAGGTGCTCAGTGAAGTTTAGCACAGGGTGGATATGTCCGCTGGCTTTCTGAGTGTAGTTAGATCTGAGTTCAGTAGGACAGGAACAGAGGAGTCTGAATAGGAGGTGGGCAGGAGTCAGAGGATGAAGGGGCTTAGATGATGCCCTGGGAATGCTGGGGGGCCATTAGAGGGGCAGGCTCAACTCTGCGTGTCAGGTGGAGCTCTCTGGGCCAGGTGAGTGTCAGACTGAAAGGGGTGCCTGGAGGAGACTAGAGAGAAGGGACAAGCAAAGCACCCCCTGGACTGGTTTCACAGCAGAGGCCAAATGTGACCCAGAAACTCAAAAGGACACACTCTCTAGTATATCCCGGCGCTGCAAGATCAGCACTGGACTGTGAACCACAGGGCCGGAAGTTCAAACCCAAATTCAAACCAACTGCTACTCGGAAACCCTACACAGGGTCGCTATGAGTCGGAACCAACTCTGTAACACTTAACAATGACAACGTATTCTTGACAAAGGAGCCCTGGTAGTAAAATGGTTCAACTCAAAGGTTGTAGGTTCGAACCCACCACCACTCAGCAGGAGAAAGAGGAGAAAGTCTGCCTCTATGAACATTACCAGTCTTGGGAACCCTATGAGGCAGTTCCACTCTGTGTTACAGGGCCGTTGAGTTGGGATCAACTCAGTGGCCGTGAGTTTGGATCTTGGAGTCGGTTCCGACTCACAGTGACCCTCTGTACACAACACGGGGAAACCCCGCCCAGCCCTGCATCACCTCACAACTCGTACATTTAAGCCCATTGTTGCAGCTACTGTGTCCATCCATCTCAATGAGAGGCTTCCTCCTTCATAATGACCTTCCACCTGACCAAGCATGATGCCCATCTCCAGGGATGGGACCCTCCTGACGACATGCCCAAAGCACAAGCAGCAAAGTCTCGCCACCCTTGTTTCTAGGGGGCATTCTGTCTGTACTTCTTCCAAGACAGATTTGTTCTCCTGGCAGTCCAAGGTACTTTCATGTTCTTCGCTGACACAGTTAATTCATATGCATCGGTTTTTGGTTTAGAGTGGTGTTAAGGACCTCCAGTGGCACAAACGGTTGAGCAATTAGCTGCTAACCGGAAGGTTCAAACCCACCCAATGGCACCATGGGAGAAAAGGCCTGGATCTGCTCCCGTAAGATGAGAGCTCTGAGGATCCCGTGGGGTGGTTCCCCACTGTCACATGAGACTGCTGTGTGTTAGTACGAACTGGAGAGCAGTGACTCACCACCACACTGCCCCGTCCTGCCAGAGGCAACAGCCTGAGCTGGGGCTGAAGTCACGGGAACAGAGAAAAGCGGGCAGACCCGAAACTGACTTACCCATCCGTCTCCTCTTCTTCCGGAGCACCTGGCCCCTCTGTCTTCTCTTCTTTTTTGGTGGCCGGCTTTCGGGGGGCTGGGGATGAAGCCAGGAAATCGTGTGTCCTTTCTCCTGATTGCTCCTAACCCTCTCCACCCAGCACCGTCCCTACACTCAGGAGATGGCAGGAAGCCAGGAGGGACTTGGAGCATGTTCGAGAAAAAGGGGTTCCTGGGGAGTGTGAAAGGCTGAGCGCTCCACTTACTAACCAAAGGTCAGTGGATCAAATCCACCCAGAGGCATCTCAGAAGACAGGCCTGGTGCTTTGCTTCCAAAAGTTCCCAGCCTTGGAAAACTCAGGGAGTGCAGGTTTACTCTGCACACATTGGGGTGCCCCGAGTCAGAACTGCAACTAACTGTATCACGATCTTGCTTTAGAATCTGGGGTTGCTGAAAATGGCCACATGCTGGACCCGCTACCCAACATCGGTGGTTCAAACCCACTCAGAGCATCTCAGAAGACAGGTCTGGCGCTCTGATTCTGAAAGGTCCCAGCCTTGGAAACCCCATGGAGCAACTCTACTCAGCTAGGAGCTGGGAGCCGGGTGGGGAGGGAGACTCACTGAAGAAACTGCTGATCGTCTTGGAAGGCTTGGCAGGGGGCTTGTCCGGGTTTCCCTCCTTGGGTCCCTTCTTCACATCTGCCACAGGCTCTGAGATGCTTTCTGCTGGGGTCTCGGTTTCTACAGGGACAAAGTCAGACTATAACACAGAATTGTTTCCAATTCAAGGAGGATATGGAGGAAGAGAGAGCCACACCCCTGCTCCGGGGCCATTTTCAGGTGCTGTGCATCTCTCTTCCTCCATATCTGCTCATTGTGAATCTCAGAAGAGACTGACCAAGACACTTCCTAGGTTCAGATTGCCTCATTACCATAATAACCAGCAGCCCTGGTGGTGGAGTGGTTAAGCATTTGGCAAATAACAGAAAGGTAAGCGGTTCAAACCCACTAGCCGTGGTTTCTAACACAGGGGGCTCATGGGACACTCAGGTGCAGGTGTTCTCTTGCCTATGAAGGCAACTATCATCTCTAAACACCGGTAACTTGGCTGTGTGGCCAAACTCAATCAGTAACCGCTCCACAATTCATAGCATTTCTCTTACACCTAAGAAACCTTGGTGGTGGTACAGTTAAGTGCTCAGCTGCTAACCATCCAGTGGCTTTGAGGGTCCGCTCCAGGGACGATGACAGCCTAGAAAATCCTATTTTTGTTGTTAAGTGCCATCGAGTCAGGTCCGACTCAAAGTGACCTTGTCTAGGGTTTCTAAAAAGTGGTCAGTGGGTTTGAACTGCTGACCTTTTGGTTAGCGCATTATCCTGAAGCACCACACCAGGACTCCAGGAAATCAGAGTCAGGGTGTGGGGGGAAGATCAGAAACTCACCGGAACTCTTACGGCATTTAGGGGACGCTGCGGGCTGGTCCTCGCCTTCTTCCCTCTTTTTGGTCACATCGGGTCCTGTGAGGCTTTCGTTTGGGCTTTCTGCTTCTGCAGACAGAAAAGTCAGAGAGCAAAATCCTGAAACCATCTGCCCCTATTTGTTCCTCTTTTCTTTAAAAAAAAAACAAAACTTAAAGGGTTTTTATTAAGTATGTTATTTTGACTTTTTACAGTCCAGTCCTTATTTTCTTTCTTCATCACCCAAAACAGCAACTTTCTGCCCCTTTAGCAACTGAGTCCTGGTGTGGCACTGTGGGATAACGCAATGGATTGCAAGGTCAGTTTGAACTACAAGGTCTGCATTCAAACTCACCAGTTGCACCTTGGAAACCCTGTACAGGGTCACTATGAGTTGGAACCAACTCAACACCACCACCTTTTCTCTTTGCCCAGCCCACAGACACCTTGACTCTTCTTTCTCTGCTTAACTCTAGATCAGACAGGGGCCGTCAGATGGCGTTTATTCATTTGTGTTGGGCATCTTCCCTTCAGCATGTTTTCAAAGCTCATCGACGCTGCAGCCTGTTAGAATTCCCTTTGTCTTTATGGATGAATCCTATTCCACCAGATGGAGATCCATGGAGCCCTGGTGGTGCCAGGCCAAGCAGTGGGCTGTCCACTAAAAGGTCAGCAATTCAAACCCACGGGTCACGGTTTGCTCCCATGCAGACATACGGCCTCAAAAACCCTAGGGAGCAACTCTAGTCTGTATGTAGGATTGCTATGACTTACAATCAACTTGACGGCAGTGGGCTTGTTTTGGTATCTGTGAGAACCTGAATTCGACAGGACTGCCTTGCTTTTCTGGACCTCGCAGAATTTCTGCCATCACTTTGCTTTTCCATCATTTGTATTAGTGGAAACGATTTGAGTTTTGTTTTTCTGACAGGTTTCCGCCTTATACAGTTTTAACTTTCACAGGTTTTAGTATATCACATTTTGTTGACCGTAGAAGACTTGAAGCATTTGAGCTATGGCATTGGAGAATTTTTAAAAAGTACCACGGACTGCTAAAGGAACAAATAGATCTGTGTTGGAAGAAATACAGCCAGAATGCTTCCTGGAAGCCAGGACGGCCATACTTCGTCTCTCACACTTTGGATGTATTATCAGGGGGGACCAATCCCTTGAAAAGGATATCATGTTTGATAAAATGGAGGGCTGGAGAAAAAGAGGAAGATCCCCAGTGAGATGGATTGGCATACTGGCAGCAGCGATGGGGACAAATGTAGCAACGATTCTGAGACTGGAGCCGGACCAGGCAGTGTTTTGTTCTGCTGTGCCCAGGGCTGCTGTGAATCAACACTGACTCAATGGCACCTAACAACAACAACTCATCTGCCGATGAACACTTGGGGTGCTTCCGCCTTTTGGCTATTGTGAACACTGGTGTGCAGCTCCTGGGGATATGGGAGGGCGCTTCCAAAAATTCGTACAAAGCGTCAATTCTCTTTTCATTCCCTTCTTCCAAGAACTTTTGGGCGCCCACTCGTATACCTAGGAGTGGAATATCTGGCTCCAGAATTCCTAGAGTCGAGGATGGCGAGCACGATCTCACGTTCTTCGGACATGGCAACGGGAGGGTCCAGTCCCTCGAGAAGGACAGCATGCTTGGTGAAATAGAGGGTCAGTGAAAAAGAGGATAGCCCTCTAAGAAATGGACTGCTAGTGACCGCAACAACAGATTCAAATAGCAAGCACGGTGAGGACAGCACAGGACTGGGCAGTACCTCATCCTGTTAAGGCCAACTGGACGGCACCTAACAACAGCACAGTTAACTTGTTGAGAAACTACCACAATGTGTTCCTCAGCCCGCGCACCATTTTACACTTCCCAACAGCCATGGCCGAGGGCTCCTGTTTCTCCACGTCCTCACAAGATTTGTTATTTTCTGAGTCTTTGATAATAGTCATCTGAGTGGGTAGGGAATGGTATCTCACTGTGCGTTTATATTTGGCTTTTATTCTACCAATCAAGTGTGCCTGTAGAACAACTGGATATGTGTGTGCATATATGAGTATGTGCGTGTGCACATGAGTATCTACATACATGAATGGCTGCATACATGAGCATGTACATGCATGAGTGTGCATGTGTGCAGGAGTGTTGCGTGCATGACTATGTACGTGCATGAATGTGTTCATATGGTGTGGTACACGTGCTTATATACATGAATCTGTATGTGCACACTTGATCACATGTGGATACGTGTGTGCATATATACACGAGTCTGTGCACATATGATTTGCATGCATGGGTGTGTACACATAAGTATATGTGTACGTGTGCATGTGAGTGCACACGCATGTGTTTGCGCACGCATACATGTGTGCAATATTCTGTTAGCATGAGCAACAGAGAAATGAAATTAATACAAGCCACCAGTCTTTCCTTATAAACATTTAAAAATCATTCACCCCAGCACAGAATTTTAAAAGCTTTAGAATGCATATAACTTACCACTTTTTTTTAAAAACTGCTGGAAAAATCAAGCTTTTAGGATAACGGTGAAAACTGCAAAAAGTAACTTGGGGAAAACATTTGCCTTTAGTAGAAATAAGGCCCCCATACATCCCAACGGGTTAGAACTGACAATTGCCAAAATGAAATAAACCTCGAGCAAGTTCAAATGTGTTCAGGAAACTGAAAATTGAATCCTAGTAAAAAATCAGGAGTCCTGGAGTGGTGCTGTAGGATAAGCAAGGTCGGCGGTTCAAACTCACCAGCTGCTCCTTGGAAATCCTATACAAGGTCATTATGGGTCAGAACCAACTTGACAACACTTAACAACAAATCTTTACAGGAGCAGAATGCCTGATCCTTCTCCCGCAGAGCAGCTGGTGGGTTCAAACCTCCAACCTTTAGGTTAGCAGTCCAAAGCTTAACCCACTGCCGCACCAGGGTTCCTTTATAATTTCATTGTTGTTTGCTAAGTGTAATCAAATCAGTTCCAACACATAGCAACTCTGTATAGGGTTTCCAGAGTGGCTAATGGATTTAAATCACCAAATTTATAGTTCAACCCGACTACACAGTCCAGTACATACTCTAACAGCACCACACCTGGAGCCCCAAATGATCAAAGCTTGACAGCTGTGATTCCCATGGGGCACTGGGAGATAGTTCACATTTTCAAGAGGGCCCCAGTGACACCTGCTGGACACTGAACTACTAGCTCGAGGTACCATTAGGACACGTCTTTCAATGAGTCCTGGCATGGCAAAGCTGGGTTTTCAGTGGGTGCTTTGGTATAAAGTATTCCTCTTGCTGATGTCAACATCAAACAGGAAACAGGAGTGGTACTTTTCAGGGTGTGTGCAGCGCCCAGAAGGCACACATATCCCATAGTTGGTAATCATGGTTCTGTGGTATAACGGTTAATGTGCTCGGCTGCTAACCCAACAACTGGAGGTTCAAATTCTCCCAGAGATGCATTGGGAGAAAAGACCTGGAGTTCCACTTCTAAAACATCAGCCACTGAAAACCCTACGGGGTACAGTTCTACTCTGACACATATGGGGTCACTGGGAGTCAGAATCAACTTGACAGCAACTTGAACAAGAATGTAATAAAATGCTATCTTTCTGATTGGTCCATGTGTACTATTTTCTTCAAATGCCAAAATGGTCAAAACATAAATAATTATTTAGACATAATTGCTTAATAAACAAAACTTAGGAACCAACCTCCCAAAACCAAAAAAGATAACGACTAAGAGACAAAGGACGTTGTGAACCAAGACAGATTAGGAAGCTATTCTCTGTGGTAAAATTTACCAGGGGAAAGAAATCACTTGTAGTAAAATATTTCCCATAAAATAAATGTAAAGATAGAAGATAAAAACAGAAAACTGTCCACAAATTAATACCAAATTGCCAAATGAACTCATTCTAAAATGCACTTATGACAAAAATTCCTGTGTTGGTATGTGGAATTGTGGCTAACATGCAGGGGTTCATGGATGCAGGCATCAAACCAGTGAGTTTCAGATGCACATACACACACACACACACACGTTGCTTTCCTTTTCACCCCTCACCTTCCTCCTCCTTCTTCTTCTTCTTGGCGTCTCTTTCCTTGTCTTCACTCTGCTCTTCTGAGACATCTGGAATTTTCCGTTTTGGGAGCTGCTTCCGAGCTGGGGAGGAAAAGACTTCAGTGAGGCTGACTGCTTGTCCGCCCACCTCACTAGTCGGTCCTGAGAAGGCACAGGCCTCTGGCCTTTGCCACCTGCTCAAACGCACTGCGCCCCACATAGGCCTTGTCCTTCCAGTTCTGCTGCTTCCTGACTGGGTGACCTTGAGCATGCTGCCTAACCTCTCTGCACCTCACTCACCTTTATCTACCTTCTCCCCAAAGCTGATCATGATGTAACATAACCCACAGTGTGACATCCCGAGTCCAACATCCCTAGAATCTTGCCAACTCAGTGTTTCCTGATCCTCAGGAAGCCACAAGTGGCAGGAGCAGTCCTCAATCAACAGCTGACAGGGTAAGCCGACATTGAAACACCCCACTCACTTGTCCCTTGGCTAGGGAAGTCTGAGACTCACATTTACGCAGCTGCCCAGAGGTTTCCCCATAGTAAGCCAGGTGTTCAGGTGAGAGCCGGCCTAATAGTATTTCTCCCTAGGAGAAAGGAGGCAGTCTGCTTCCATAAATATGACAGCCTTGGAAATGC